CGTTGAATTTTACTTGAAACAATCACTTGTACGTTGGGCAGGACTTATAAACTGGTTCCGAAGTTACGAACGCGTGATTGATTCAAGGATCTCAATCTAAAAGACATGCCACTTCGGCATGTAAGACGTTACTGAATTTCTTTTCACTAAGTTTTGTCGCGAAGGGTAATTTTGATGGCTTCGCATTTTAGGCAAAAGGGGTCACGTGGTGCGGTGGCGTGATCGGAGTTTTGGTTTAATTTTTATTTTTTTTATATTTTATTTTTTTTGTTTTATTTCTACAGCGAGTGCGAGTGTTTGCTCCAACGTTTTGTTTAGATCGGCATTCCCATGAGGGCGGATTTTCGATCGAGCAGAAATTTGAGACCGGATATACGAAGTCGAAAATGGATTGCATTCGTTTTGTCATTGTTTTAGCATTATTCTCAAGGAATTTATTCGCAGGAAATGAATTTATTATTTCTATTATTTCATTAATTTCTTTTTATTCTTTAACGAAAATTTCTAACACGACACAATCTCGTTTTTTTAGATTTAAGCAAATTTTATATTTTTTTAGATTATAATTAGATGCAAGTTTTTAAATACATTTTTTTGAATCTCAAACTTCAAACTGAAACTTAAGACTAAAAATACATTTTTTTTTTTAAAGAAAATACATTATATTATTATTGTCCCCTCCCGGCGGCTGTGGACCTCACTCTCACTCCTCGAGGTCCCAGTTGTCCGTACTGTGGTTGAGATGATGGGAGCCCACCGAAGAGGTTATGGAGGTCTTATAAATTCTCGATGGGAGATTCTTCAGAGCTGGTCGCATGCATCTGAAAATAAGATAAAAAAGTGAAATTTGGTTGACAAAAAATCTACGGAAAATGCGACGAATAAGTTTTTCATTAAAACAATCCACCACGGAAAATTTCTGCGGTAGAGAAAGCGAGCAAAAATTTCTGTCATAAAAAATTTCTTTCACAAAAAATGTCGACACTGAAAAATTGGAGGAAAACCAGAATAGAAAAATTCAACATCGAAAAAAAAAGAGAAGTAACCCGAATGGAAAATACATGTAAACTCCATAAGTGACGTTTAAGAACCGAACAAAATGCACGCATTTTGGAAAAAATTCAACTCAAAATTTGACGCTGAAAAATTGGACGACACCGGAACAGGAAAATTCGAAAACGACAAAATCTAACACGGAAAATTTCAACGAAAGAAAACGCGAGCAAAAATTTCTTTCACAAAAAATTTTTTTTCAAAAACAATTTCGACACTGAAAACTTGGACGAAAACCGGAATCGAAAAATTCAAAAACGAAAAAAAAGAGACGAAAACCGAACGGAAAATACATGTAAACTCCATAAGAGACTTTAAAAAATGAAAAAAAAGCAAACATTTTGGAAAAAATTGAACTAAAAACTTAACGCTGAAAATTTTTAAACAAAAAAAAAATTTCTTTCTCATAAAAAAAAATGCACGAGAATCGGACTCTAGAAAATTACCTAGAAAATTATGAACGAGAAAACTATGTGGATATTTTTTTTTATACGAAAAACCGAACAAGAATTTTCGCAAATAATATAACTCAAATTATAAATAAAAACTTACCATCTGGTAGGTTCTCTCCACTTCAGCAATGACTGACCCGACCATTTTCAAACTTTTGTTCTTTTCGTCGAAATGAAAAATCACACGCAGCACTCTACGAAAAACGGTGGAGACTCGTCACTGAAGACTATCCTGAAGAATATAAAGTTGTAAGTGTTCCAAAGATCTTGCAGTTTACAAATTTCGACTTGTTTATTCTCTTCCTCTTTGTTTTTCTTTTTTCGCCACGATCTTTCTTGTTTTTCGGTGGTATGTACTTGTTATCTTCCGTGTATTTATCAACATATCTGCAATAGGCTTTCGTTTTTCCCTGTAATTCTCACTTGGTGACTGATCTGGGAGATATTTATTTCAACAGTTCGACGTCTTGATCTCTCCAAATTTTATTCATTTTTACTGTCACAAATATATTTTCACGAATGACTGACAAAAAATAAATCCAAGTCACTCGTATTTTTAAAAAATTCACAGCGGTGGGGGCAATATGATAGGAGTGGGGGTAGCATGATAGAGATGGTGGGGAGGCTAATATACATCATACGAAATGCATGGTAGTGGGGGTCATGTGTGACGCCGACGCCGCAGCACTCCCTACGGTCGGGGTAATGTGTGGTGAGTATAGGCCTGTTATGTGAATGGTGGGAGGAATTGAGCGCGCCCCACGTTCATACCTAACGCTATAAAGCGCGGCTGCTCGCAGTGTATTTCATCCAGTCGATCCATTTTCGCTCTTCAGTTTTTTAACATGGAAAATATCAACGAAAAAGAGTGCAGTGGTGTCGAACAGCAGGTGGTGCTATCGCAAGTTATGCCTCTTAATAAGTCGGAGACGAAACAAATTCGTGTTGGTTTACAAGTTACCTGTCTCGGACAATTTGTTCCTGTGGTGCAGTTTATGGCCGTACGCCCCAACCGTATCGTGCTGTCAATGTCACGGGGGGAATGGGGCCTTCTGTACAAAGATCTGGAAGCCATTACGGACTATTTTGATCCTGAGAAGTTTCACCCAAAAGCCGTCCACAATGTACCTGCTAAGCAATTTGGGGATATCAAACTGAGATTCCATCGCAGCTACGATAACCCTTGCGTTGCTTTTGTACGTGCTGATGTAAGGCAACCCCTCATTATGATGAGCCCAAGCATTACAACATTAAAAAACAAAGCGGCATGGATCGATCAGTGGTTAAAATTTTTGGACTCATTGCCTCTCAAACAATACAAGGAGTCTCTGGTGCGGGCGATCACAAGTGTTGCCATGCATTATATGGAATACAACAGNGTGGAAGAAGAACTCCACTATCGCATACGTAACAATTTCGAGGAGATTTACCTTCTGGCCAAGGACGACCTCCACAGTACAATACCTCAGGAGAATCTGGGATATTTGTATCAATTATTTGGTGAAATGTTCCATTTCTGCTACGACGAGTTGGATGGTTTTGCGGGAGGGGCTTACCGAATGCCTTCATACTAAAGACTATATAATCACAATAATCTCTTGGGATTGTAAATAATTTTAAATTGGAACGAAAAAAAATATCATTTGTGAGCCTAAAAATGTATTTCGTCATTTTACATGAATTAAAGAAAAAGTAATTTGTAAACCTTGTATTATTCATTTACGAAAAACCTTGACATTTTTTCAGCTACGTAGAAGTTTCCAGAAAAATATATTCGGCCCCATATCAGCTCGAAAAATTCACTGTCCTCAAAATAAAAGAGAGAGAGAGAGAGAGAGAGAGAGAGAGAGAGAACGTATTGTCTGCCCTTTGCGTCATTCGTGGTTGCAATGCTTTGTCATCCCTTTACAAAAAAAAATTTTGAAAGCACAATGTCTCTACGGAGTCTCAAGGACGGTGTCTCCAATGTCCTGGGGAGCGAGATCCGGATCCTCGCCGACTCATGCCTACCAGTTTCTACTCGTCATGAATTTTCGACCACCCACTTTCCACCCGCCACCCCATTTTTTTCCCACCAACTATTTCCCACCCACTACCCCATTTCCACCTACCACCCCTTCTCTACCCGTCACCCATTTTCCATCTGGCGGTTATTTTCCACCCACCACCCACTTCCTGTGACCCTTGGACCCCAACTTTGAGGTCCTGCACCCCAGGGGGCCTCCCAGCGCGCCGACGTCCTCTTCAAAAGGCATGCCGCCGAGGGGGGAAGGGGGGAAGTGCACGTGCACTTCCTGGAAAAAAGAGGGAGGAAGGGGGGAATTCCTTCAAAAAATTCGCCAATCTCGGCCATTTACTACTCTGCTCCCCACCCCAATCAATTGATATTAGGGTGGATAGCCGCGTTTAAATGTGAATTTTAAATTATGAATATTTAAACCATGATAATTCCTAGTTTATTAGTCCCGGAGAGCTGAAACTTGCGCTTCGCCTGCGAGAATGATGATCCGCGTTGAACGGCACAGGAGCCAGCATAATCCGCTGCTCGCTCGATGCTGTAGCATATGTTTTTCTTATGTTGTAGCTTTGCGCCACAGAATCATCGGTGAGGTGGTGGGAGTCCACACGTAGAAGCCCGAGTTGCCTGCTGGCGTGCGTCTAACATCGCCCGCGTTTATGTTAGTGTGAGTCTCCCAGACTCGGTATGCGCGTGCCCATAGGTGTGCCAACTCGTCCTCTCCACTCCTTTCGTCGCGAAGTTCATGCGTAACTTACGGTGAGCGCAATAGCGTTAGAATTAGACAGATAGAGAAAAGAAAAAGAGTAAATAAAAGAAAATGAAACTGCAAAAGTGGCCGTGGGTGATCCCACTCCCCGCTGGCATTTAATTACTAATTTTCCCCCAAATGAACCACGGTCAGTTAAGGCGAGGAACAGTACATGATTTTCATCATGTTACAATACATAGCAGTGATTCATATACGTTTGTAATAACTATCTTCCGCTCCTTAAAATGGGGTACGATGAATCCAATTAAATTGAATTTTCATCAAGTTATTGAAGAAGCTTTTATTTTTTACGTTATGTCGCACCTTAAAAATGATATTTTTTATCAATTATCGAGGCTTGATTCACAGAACCGACCGGTTCAGTATGTCGATAACGATTATTGGTCGATGACCAACCGGTCGACTAACGATTGAATAGTTATCAATATACTGAACCGGCCTATTACTGAAACAATGGTCAATCAATTCTGAATCGGAAGGTCCGCCAGGGTTACCACTTAATTGTAATCTCCTTAAATCTAAAACTTGTAACATGATATAATTGAAAATTAAAACATGATATAATAACGGTCTTGACGCATCGTAGAAAGTAAAAATTAGGGGAATTGGAATAGAAAAATATATTTATCGATTGCATGCAATCTGGCCGGCGCGCGTGAAGCGCGCTTCCCGCCTAGTTTAATAAATTTGTCTGAATGCTTCTTACTTGTAACAATTTGTTGAATTGAAAAATCACAGCATACAACTCCGAGGTCATGGGCATCATCAACCGTAGCCAATACGTTAATATTTCCATTTGGATTGAGCACACTCGAATCGACAATACCAGGGACAGAAAATAAATTGAGAACTCCAAAAGTACAACTGCTTAAAAGCCACTTAGAATCTGGGGTGAAAGCGACACCCTGAACAGCTCCTTCGTGTTGTTGAAAGCATTTAATGAGGCTCCTACGGACCAAATCCCACAGGCAAACTTGTCCATTATCACCAGCGGTCACAAGGAACGTAGAGTCAGGAGAGAATCGACACACTCGAACACATTCGCCACTGGGTTGAACCATGGTATGAATTTTGGATCCGGTCTACAGCAAAATCAAAACTTAATTAGCTCCCCTGAACCTTTTCATTTTAGCCTGATGACTGAAGGAAAAATTATTTTTATAATTTACCCTGAGGTTCCAGAGAACAGTTGTACCATCAATACTCGCACTCGCCAGCATTGTTGATTGAGGGCTGACTTTTACACAAGTTACTCCATATTTGTGTCCCTTTAGGGGTGAGTAAGCGACTTCCGTATACCCAACCGCCTGCTGCCATTCGCATACTCTGACATATTTGTCCCTGAATTAAATTCATAATTTGAAGTAAGTTTACAATATAATAAAACGTCTTCAAAGTAAGTTTACAATTCAAACACGTCAGTCTCTTAGCTGAGGTTCGAGTATTTGATTTTTTTTGAGGAAAAATAATTAAAATTCGTCAGAATTGAAATTTCTCACGAAAATTCCGGAAAAGTTTCTTAACAAATTAAAATTCGTGATTCGTCTCCCATAGCGAGGTGAAAAGTGATCAGTAAAATTTGTATACTTCGTTGAGTATTTCATTCTCATAATAAATAACTATATAGAAAAATGGTAGAAGACTGTTTTCGTGGTTCCGTTCTATGAGCGTAGTTGAATGGATGCATCCACAGAAAACGAGGAAGGTTCCTGAAAATTTTCAAAACTCCTTCCGAAGGTGTTGACTAACCTTGGAGACAATACCTTGGTTGAATTATATTTTGAAAAAAAATTGTATATTCTTTTTTTTATACAAGAAAGATCAGGGGATATTCGACAAATAATTACGATGTTCATGAAATTGTTATAGTGCGCCGTTTTACTAAATTAATTTAGCTTGATCGGGTTCTTGTCGGCAATCTACGTCTAGGCAAACTATTTTTATTGATATTAGTGTCGGAATACATAGTGTGCAAACAAATAAACAAAATATATGAATAAACAACCAGTCAATTAGCAGAAACATAGGATCAAGCAAACGCAAGACGACGCCCTGTTTGGTTGATCCTAATTTTCTGCTAACTGACTTGTCGTTTGTTCATTTTTTATATTTGTTTGCAGAATATGTATTTCGACACTAATATTAATATAAAAATCATAAAAATTATCAAAAATAAAAAACTTCTGATATTTTTTTTATAAGAAATAAGTTTTTCTTGACTGAAGAAAAAGAAGGCACACGACGTACACAATTATCCGCATCAGTAACCCTTTTTGTCTCATGCCCGTGGTACAAAACTGGGAGAAGTCATGTATTTTCCTTTATTTTACGTAAGCATGTATTGAGTAGACTTTGGAAAGATGAACAATTTATCCCTCGTGGAAATCGGGTCGTCAGATTTTGACAAATTATGACATAAAATGTGAAATTATGTCAAAAAATGAGAAAATTGATAGTGTGACATCCGTCAGAAAATTCATTTAAATTCATTTTCTTACGTCGTCATTCAATTATCTCAGTGATAGAAGCGACTTTTGAAACCCAAATTATCTTCTGTAACCGGGGAAAGTGACCCCCTCGATGTTAGGAATATTTCGGCTGCACACATCTGTAAACGATAAAAATGTTCCCAANCTGATAATAAATTCTAAGCGTGGGTCCAAATTTTGTAATTCCCACGACAAATATTTGATATAAAAATAGAGTAACGATTTCGTTTCCCACATGGAGGAAATGACATATACATTGACGAACATGTGACACAAAAATAGTAAAATGCATCATACAACAGAATGATTCTTTTATGAATAATTTTCCATTTCGGATATTAATTAAACTATCATAATTGTTTAAGAAATATTATCAACGTGGGAAAACCACAAAATAATTAAAGTTTAAACAATATTTTTATGTCATTGAATTATTATTGAATTACTATTAGATTACTATTTTTCTTCAATGAATTATAATTTATCATAAAATTTCATGAAATTTATCTGAATTGTTTCAAAAAAATTAAATAACAAAGATGTTAACGCTAAGTTGAAAATAAGAGATAAAAGAGAATTGTGGAGGGAATATATGGGCATTCCTAAAACAATTTTCATTGGTTGTTGGGGAATAGAAAAGACCGCCTACACCCCAAAAACATCTTCATGTAGAGAGATGGAGTTGATCTCGAAACAAGGAGATTTCAAACCACTGGAGTGGGAAATTTCGGCTAGAGTCATTTGTAATTGGTCCCCGAAATTTCCCTATGCATTCTGAGGACACACCCTCCTAGATAAACTATAAAGACTTGTGCGCGATAGCAGCACGACAGTTACAGTTCCGATTGCATTTTGTAATCATCGCTACAGTAGTAGTAGTAGCTCATATCTGAGAGTTAGTATACTCCAGTTTCTTTTGGACACGGTTCCAATTTTATTATCGACCTATTAAGGCGATATTTTGGGTTTTTCGCGACCTTTAATTTTCATATAGTCTTGGATGACTATTTAATTTCCGTTTTAGTCTTTCGTAACTAAATTATTTTCTGAAATCCCAAGTCTTATGATATTTTTTAATTATTTGATTCATTTAAATAAAGAATTTAATCCAACGTCTTAAATTCAGTGCGGCATTACTTTTAACCACATACAAAATACTTTACGACTGAAAGCAGAGCAGTGAATGTAAGTCGAATGTTGTAGTTATACTTTTCTACTTGTTTTGTTAAAATATAGACTCTATTGAGTCACTTTAAAGTTATTCAAAATTCTTTTGATTTTACTCCAAGTGAACCTTTCCAACCTTTGATTCCAAATACTTTTGGGGTTTAGAAAATTGAAGTAAAAGGGGACCTTTGTAAATGGGTTTTGTGCTTGAATTCTATTTCTTAATTTCGAGACGATCTTTGAATTTAATCTTGTTTCTTTGGTTCAGTATATTGAATTTTAATTTAATAAAGTTGTGTCAAGTAACCCATTCTTGACGTAACAATAGATTTTTACATAATTTCATAGAATTTGATAAAATATGTCCGATTCTGTCAGAAATTGCATCGTTATATACTGACAGCAGATGTCATATTATGTCAACTCTATAAAACGATATAAACTGACAGATTTTTACATTTTTTATCATTTTCCCCCCGAAAATGACATTGTTCCTCATGATATGACAATAATATTTTCGTCAGATTTTGACATATTGCCAGGGCTCATGAAATGTCAGAATTTCTTAGAAAATGACTTATTTTGTCATAATATGATATATTTTTTTATGTCATTTTCTGTCCTATTTCAGCTTGTCATAAACTGCCGGAATCAGTCAATCAATGTCATAACCTAACAGAAAATGTCATAATATCATAGATTATATGATATTTATGATGTCATAGGATGTCCGATGATGACATATTCTGACAATCGTCTGTGGTCAGAAACTGCAAGAATATGTCAAATAATGTCATCGAAGGGCATATACTGTCATAATATCACAGATTATATGATATTTATTCATAGGATGTCCGATGATGACATATTCTGACAATCATCCGTGGAAAGAATACCGCCAGAAAATGTAAGAATATGTCAAATAATGTCATCGAAGGGCATATACTGTCATAATATCACAGATTATATGATATTTATTCATAGGATGTCCGATGATGACATATTCTGACAATCATCCGTGGAAAGAATACCGCCAGAAAATGTAAGAATATGTCAAATAATGTCATCGAAGGGCATATACTGTCATAATATCACAGATTATATGATATTTATTCATAGGATGTCCGATGATGACATATTCTGACAATCATCCGTGGAAAGAATACCGCCAGAAAATGTAAGAATATGTCAAATCATGTCATAATGTCATAATTTATGAAAAAATGACAATTAATGACAAATTCGGTCATTCCGGGCTGCCATTTTCTGTGCAAATGTGCCAATAAATGACATCATCCGTCAAAATTTGGCAAATTATGTCGGAATATAATATATTCTGACATATAATGCGATGAAATGCTATCAAATGACGACTTTGAGCTCAAGAATAGTCAATATATTATGTCATATGATGACAGAATTTGTCAGAATCTATAAGATGTTATCATATTTCTGATGAGAAATTCTGACATTATCTGACCAACCCGTCCCAAATTCCGATGATATTTTGTCAATTTCTGATGAGATTACTCAGATTCTGACAAAATATGACGGATTCGGACAAAATCTAACAAATTCTGACATAATTTCTACGCAATTTTCGGACATAATCTGTGAGAATTTGACATTTTATGTCATAATTTGTCAAAATCTGACGACTCGATTTCCACGAGGGATACCGGTACAGGGCGCGTTTTAAAAACGTTTTGATAATTTTTGTGCTCATGTCATTCCTTTTGCGTCAGAGCTACATTCTAATATTTTTCTAATTTTGATCGTGCATTTTCTGACAATACATGAGAATATTTTTCTCAGGATTTTATTGGAGAAAATCAGTTTGTCCAAGTCGCCCTGTACGATGAAAACATAATGATCATCAATATTTTCCTGTTAGTTGATGGAAATATTACAATCGCTCAAATTTGAGTTTCCGATTTTTTCTGCGTTAAAATAAGTAAATCGGATCTAAAAATCCCGATATGATATTTAAAAATCATATCTATACATACGTATGTATGCATGTATCTGTTTCTTGATATATTCAACATATGGCACTTTCAAAGCAGCCTGAATTATCGACGCATTGCCGCCAACTTTAAAACAAAATGTGTAAAAAGATTTTGTTTTCCACGAAAAAGGTCGCAAAGGGGCGTGGCTTCGTCATAATAATTATTTTATTAAATAATTACCATGCGAATTGAGCCAATTATATTTGTACTTGATAAAAGAGGGTTATAAAAATGATGAAGAAAAATCGATGAGTAAAATTAACAAAAAAATGCTCAAAATAAGTCAGATAGTCGATGTATATATGCGCAGTAGTCTTGCGCTGACGGAAAATTTGAACAGGCATATGGCGCAAGAGGCTAGTGCGTCTTTTAATAGGTTGACTAGACGTAGATTGCCGTCAAGTGTCTGATGGAGCTGAAATAATTTAGCGAAATGTCGCACTATGACAATTTAATCAATTATTTCACGTCAATTATTTCCCCAATATAGCTTGATCATTCTTATATGGATTTATATCATCGGGATGAGAACAATCAGTGGTTTCTTTTTTGTATTGAATAGATAGAATAAATTACTTTAAGGAAGAGTATGTGAATGAATGAAACGATTGAAAGAATAATTGAATGTCGGTGCACATTTTATTCAAAAATCATTTGTTCCGCAATAAATTAACAA